CCATCAATTTTTATTTATGTATAAAGGCGGGATAAAAAAGGATTACAAAGAGGCAAAAAAGTGAGTGCAAGCTAGCATGCAGTATGTCCAGAAACAAGTGGAAAACAAATATTAAGTAAACTTCCCTAAATATTCATGATGGGCAAAATTACTAGATTAGTATACTTGGTCGACCATGTGAGATGGATTGGTATATTTTCTTACTCTGATTCAAGTTGGTATATTGTGTAGACTACAGTGACAAATGAGCCTATATTTTAGCCAGAGACAAAATTCCGACCAAGTTGAGTCACATGATCCTCTTGTATTGGCATATGTGGCTGCCAACATGGTGGTAATTGGGATCATCCAAATTGTTGAAAGAGATTTTTTTTCTAACATTACAGATGAAAAGTTAGGGTTCAAATTAAGAATTTTTTGTTTTTCTTCCTCATAGCATTAAATTGACTAGGCAACTGAAATTTAAGATACATTCTTTATCCTCAAGTTCTTGCTTAAGGCCAGGCTCAAGTATGAGCATGAGAAGAAACAAACTACAAGCTCAATGGGATGAAAAGCCCTAATTTACACAAATCAACCACATTGTAGCCAAATCAAGATTTTGAACCCATTAAATAACACTAATCATCCTTATTAACCATCTAATTCCTTAAATTATTTTTAAAACTTTGAATTTTAGACTCACCTTTTGCACATCACTGTAGCCGACAAAATAACCATAATTCTTTCTTACACCTCAATGTAGATGGAAGAAACCAAGCCTTAGAGATCCCTAACTCTATACACTAGGGGAATTTCTGCAATTTTTCAAAGATTCGTCCTCTCCTTCGCATGAATATAGAAAAAGAGGGAAAATAGAGAATTTGGAGGTTGAAGGTTTTCTTTTCTTTCACAACCGTTACACTGCTACGTAAGCGCACCTAATCCACATTGGCTACATTTGAGGAGTCATGTGACCAATTTGGCCGGATTTTTGGCTCTAGCTAAAATATAGGCCAATTTATCCCTATAGTCCATATAATATACCAAATTATTGCTAGAGTAAGAAAATATATCAAGCTGTTACATAGGGTGAACAAAATATACCGATCTGCTAATTTTGCCATTCATGATGTTTGGGCCATTTTACAAAACCATCATAACTTTTCAAAATTAGACAAACACCCATAAGCTTTTGGATGTGCCGCAAAAAACCTCCGTAAAGTTTCAATTTTCCTAAAGGACCCTAAATGGTGCTAAATGATCTGGTCAAAAGACCAAAATGCCCTTTTCACATTAACCCTCTAATTATTATGTTAATAACTTCTAACTAATCCCTCCTTTATATATAAAGAGAAATTGGTGGTTTACCTAAAGTCGCCACATGGGATTTAGTAGCTTACCTAGAGTCTCCATGTGACAACTAGTTTGAAATTCTAATCGATTTTAGACATTTCTAATTAATTGAATCATCATCAAACTAAATTATCCATAATTTAAAAATTCCAAAAATCAGATATTTACTAATCCTAATCAAATCATAACTATCTATAACTTAAAAAAAACTTAATCCTATTTTCATGTAAGAATCCTCATCAAATTGAAACTATCTATAATTAGGAAATTCTAACAATCAAATATTTGGTAGTCCTGATCAAATCATTGCTTTCTATAAATGAAAATAAAAAGGATTGATTTTAGAATAGCCCCTCAACTGTGAGAAGCATCACAGAAATCCCCTCTCAACTATTACCTTCAATATTTGGGAGGTGTTATAGATAACCCCCAGAAAAAATTGAAAACGTGATTTAACCTCCTAGAACTTTTCTCACATAAACCCCTGAAAACTAACACGGTTAAGTTCGATAAGTAGGTGACCTGGAAAAAATCAGAATACCCCACTTGAGGGGATTTTCACTAAATTAAAATATTCAAGAGCGTTTTCTAAGACAAAACCATAATTGAAAATTAACGCAAAAAATGTAATAGTCATGTTTTAAATTATTAAAAAATTTGGCGGTTTGTTATTCAAGCCTCCCATCTTAAAAAATAATAAATAAATAAAACATAAAAAATAAAAAAACTCACACTTATCATCTATACATTACACGAAGACGTCTAATACTATCAAAAGCTGACATGTGTACAGCTACTGGTCCCATCTTCTTACAAGGATCCTCATCAAAATAAAACTTTTCATAATTAAAAAATAATCATATAATTGATAATTTCAATCAAATCATAATCATAACTATCTAACAAAGGGTTAAGTTTAGAAAACCCCCTCAACTTTGGGTAGTGTCATAGAAAACCCCCTCACCTATTTTAATTTGTGAAAATACCTTCAATATTTGGGAGGTGTTGTTGATAATGCCCCTCAAATTTTGAACTCTCTAAACTTTCTCACTTAACCTCCCTAAAACTAACACCGCAAAGTTTAACGTGCAATGTGACAAGTAGGTGACCTAGAAAGAACAAAGTACCCTCCATCATAAAAAATTTTATCCTGACCTTTCGTTGGATGAGGAAGGGGCGGGGGGGGGGCGGGGGGGACTTATAACTTTTGGTCGGGTTCTTTTTTTTTATACGACCGGGGATCTCTTTTTAACTAAACTGGGTCGATTACCAAAAGAATATTTCCATCATTTCACATTTTAATGTAACAATGACAAAGGGGTTTGTTAAACAAAGTGTGAATCATCATGGGGATTTTTCATGAAACAGCCTGTAGTTAAGTATGTTTTCTCAAAATAAGATGGTTATCTAAAAACGACCAAAGTTGAATGTGTTTTCTCAAATTAAAATAGTTGGGGAATTTTTTGAGGCAAACCCCATCGTTGAACAGTTTTTTTTCTTCTAAATTAATCCTAAAATCCAATAACCATATTTGTATTTTCATTTTATTTCATATTCTATTCTTTTCTTTTCTTCTATTTTTTATCTTCAGTTTTTTCCACCGTTTTCTGTCATTTTATAGAAATATTAACTGTGATTTATTGGATCCTATAATGAATATGATATACACAACTAGCAAAATTAAGATCAATGTGTTTTGTGCATTGTTTGATTTGTCGTGTACTTTTACCTCTTTGTCCATGTTTATTAAAATTAGAAATGGAAGATGATGTATTTTCATATAAAAAAAGATAATTATTTTACGAAAAAGGGATGAAAACAAATATATCAAGAAAACAAAGATCACCAAATTACATATTATACTTTTTAATTATGGATGCTTAATTTTGATAAGACTACCTAACAAACTGGACCAAGACTGCATGCCTCATTTATATTATGTATAATTTGAAAATAGAATTCCAATACGGTATTTACAACTTTCCATACAATATTCTAGCGCACGCACAATTTCTTTCAAATTTTATGGATTTATATATTTTGTAAGTGAAATTATTAAAGAATTTAGTAATTTCATACATATTATATTCATGGCCCTTTTCCTATTTATAAATTGTGTAGACCAAACATGTAATGATATTCAAACTTACTAAACGCAAATTCGATTGAGAGGGGAGGTTTAGATGTGACAAGGCTCTAATATAATAAATCAAAGGAAATCAAACCCATCTGTGCGAGAGCACGGGCACAACACTCGTCCTCAATTAAATTAAATACTAGATCAACTTCTAATTAGAGATAGAGAGTGAGTGTGTGTGTGTGAGTGATTGTGAGAGGCAGGGAGGGAGGGAGGGAGGTGGAGTAGGCAACGGGGGTCACAGACCACGACGGTGGTAGTTCTGTGAAAAACGACTCAAATCTCATGTGTGTCTAATGAAAAGGATAATCGCAGACGGACCCCTTTTGTACTATCACTAAATTGAACTTACTATTCCTATAGTTCTACTGTTGCAGATAGCCCCCCTGATAAGAGTTCTATGTTGCCGCGTAGGACCCCCTGGGTAAAAATCTATTGCGGTAGTAAGGGCAGTAAGTTCAATTCGGCGACAGTACAGTACAGTGAGTCTCTCCGCAACTAACCCTCAAGTGAAATTCACCCTAAAAAGAAGGGGGGACGGGGATTAAAGCAGCTGTCTCAATGAAACCCCAGATATATATTAAAAAAATGATGCCTTGTCGTTATGGTAGTTGACAGTGTGCCCCTTTAAAGTGAAAAATATTCCAAGGCACCTGAGAAAGAAAGGCAGAGAAATTTTAACTAAATAACCACAGGCGACCAGATGATGTCGAGGACAAAGGAAAAGGGCCAAACCACGCCCGGCCGAGATCTGCTGACCCCCCCTTTGCTAGTGGTAGGCTAGCTCAAAAGTTCGTGTAAGTGGAAGCTTTGATTTAAAATCTTGATTAAAAAAGGCAACACAAGTCACTAGCGTTTAACCCAAATCCTGGAAGTGGTGGGGGTCAAAAATGCACCTACGACTAAACGCTTGTGCGTGCGTGCAAGTATCATCATTAGTGGCACTTAGCCTGGTGCCAAAGAGATCGGATCCAAAGAATATCTCTGCCCCTCTCCCATACTGTCATAGTATTGTTCGCATAGTGCTCTAGAGTCTTTTCAGACTCATAAAGTAAAAGCAAACTTGCGATTATGTGTGTGTTTGTGTGTGTGTGTATGAAATGATATCGTTCAACAGCCATGGACAGATTCAGTCAAGTCATCATCGTATCGACCGAAGTGAATATACACCATATATGTTATTCTTGGATCTCTGTTGAGCATAAGCATGACCTGCACGCTGAGATGAGTGTACTGGCCATTAACGGAAAAAATGAAAAGAATATTCTCAGGAGTGTTGTATATTTTTCTTTCTAAAGTGAAAGTGGGAGATAATTGAGTAGTTAGTGGGAGACAACCAGAAACAGTAGAGTTATCATCTTTTGAGAGAGAATAGTGAGAGGGAAATAATAACTATAATAATAAATAAAAATAGCGAGAAGAGTGAGAGAAATGTGGGGTTGATTTTAGCCGACAGGGTTAAGCAAGCCAGTAGACACTACTCACTGAGATCACACCTTTATGAATGATTTATGCCTAGCTTTCTTAAGTTACAAGGAGATTCATGTTACTTTTTATCATTTCATCCTACCTAGCTTGATAGTTTGCTCCCTTAGCTTATATATATGGAACTACTCTCCCTGGAGAGACTCAATTGACTCCATCATTCTTCCATATTGGATCTTTCTATTAGTTTTTATATATATATAGGGATATTCTCCTTGCCCTCCTCTTTCTACCGATACCATCACATTCATCTCCTCATCCATATACGAGTGTGATCAGATAGTGATATAGATCGCAGTGTGTCGGATTGATTATCGGCAATTAATCTAAAAAATGGATGATGATGTGAGTAAGAGGATATGTGGGGTGCCAGAGAAGGTACAGCTGCATGGGGCAATGCTGTTGCTGCAGTTTGGATATGCAGGGTTTCATATTGTGTCGCGCTTAGCCCTTAATATGGGCATCAGCAAGGTCGTCTTCCCCGTCTATCGCAACATCATCGCTTTAATCCTACTCGTGCCCTTTGCATACTTCCTTGAAAAGTATGTCTTTTCCTCTTTATACTGTTTTTTATTCAGTATCCATTGCATGCATCCTTTTAAAAGTTTGTATTTAATTATAGGGTTGATAGCACATAGACCCCTTGTAGTGTTGCGCTTTGGAACTTATTACCCGTGTACTTGATTTTGGCAGATAGAACCCCAAAGTGAATATGTTTTGACTCTTTCATCCTAGGTCAAATTGCACCAAATACTACTAATGCGCGAAATTAGTGAGCTCGTCTAAGGGTAAAAGAGTCAAAAAAAATTCATCTCTATCTGCCAAAATCAAATTGCATGAGTAATAAGTTCCTTAAGTGCGATACGACATGTGATCTGTGTGCAATTAACCCTTAACAATATACTAATTTATCCACCAATACATAGGGAAAGGCCATATATACATTGATTCGTATCTATTGGATGGATGGTGTGGTGTATTGTTTTGTTGATCAGTTTTTGCATGTTATATCATTAATATATCTTGCTTAATGGAAGCATGGAATTTGATGCGCAATATATAAATGTTGCCATCTCATTTAGCAATTTGAGCTACTAAGAGATAACGGCGACGAGATTCACTGCTCAGACATGACAAACAGGATGAATCTCATTACTATGTTATCTCTTGGTAACTCATTTAGCAAGATAAGTCATCAAATACCCATTATTTTTTACATATAAACTACATTATATTATTTTGTGAAAGTGTTACTGGTCTTAGTTATGAACTCTTCTACTTCAGGAGGGACAGGCCAGCGATGACACTCTCATTCCTTGTCCAATTCTTTCTCCTAGCCTTGTGTGGGTAAGGAAACTTGTACCATATCCAGTTGTTTAGATTTATACATTTATTTGTTGCGTAAAGTACTAATTTGCATAACTTTTTGTGCTGCAATCATTTGAAACCCAATGTTCAAGTATAACTGCCAATCAGGGGTTCTACCTTCTAGGACTGATAATCATTTAATTAATTAATTTCTCATTTCTGACATCTATTCATATAATCATATAAATGCGTCACCTTTATCTTTTAGTCGGATGATGTCGACGTGTCACAAGTCTTACCCCTTATTTTGATCAAGACTATTAATAATGTGCTTATGTCTATATCCATGTGTGTGTATGTGTGATTTGAATGTATCTATGAAGTAGTCCCCAAAAATCCATATAATTAATACATTTGAATCATAAAAATGAGGGACCAGATATGTCATGCGTCAACATTACACAAATTAATGGGCTGTAATGACACAAAATTGAGCATGTAATCATCTTATAGCTACCTCTAAATATAATTTAATTCAGAAAAGTGACAGACACATACATATGTATCAGGATTGAAAAGGTCCGGATGAACAGAAGAGACGGGATCGCCAAGATGCTGGGCACTGCATTGTGTGTAGCCGGAGCAATGGTTATAACCCTCTACAAGGGCCCCACCATCTTTGGACCATCAACATTGCACAATACTCGAATTAATCTCCAGTCAGAAATGCCTGCCAACAATATTAGTGATACTAGTATTACTTCTACAACGAAGAATTGGACTCTAGGGTGTGTATACCTGATAGGGCATTGCCTGTCGTGGTCAGGCTGGTTGGTTCTTCAAGCTCCTGTGCTTAAGAAATATCCAGCTAGGCTTTCTGTTACCTCCTACACTTGCTTCTTCGGTGTGCTCCAGTTCTTAGTCATTGCTGCTTTCATGGAGAGAGATTTTGATGCCTGGGCTTTCCATTCTGCTAGCGAAGTTTTCACTGTCGTATATGCGGTAATTTTCAAATTAAAAGTAACTATTGTTAATTTTATTCAATATTGCAATGTAGTACCATATATACAGATCACAATAGGATGTTAGGCTTTAATTTTCTCTTTGCCTTCTTTCTATTAGATAATAAATAAATAAACTCAAAATTTGACAGAATTTTCCTTTTAATGGGCACAAGTTAATCTACATGGAAATCAGAAGTCTACCAGAATACAGTATACATGTAACCTTTCCAATAGTTTAAAGGAAGGGTGTTACTTTTTAGCCTAGAAATTCTCAAAGTTCAAGTTACTTGTTCTTTTGTGACACATTCATATCAATAAACCTATATAAATAGGCATAATGATTCAGTAATGCCTATAGAACCCCCTAAAATCTATTGAAGGATAGAGAAGAAAGCCATAATTGTTTGTGTAGGGAGATAGTAAAGAATTCAGTCTAACTGTTAACTCTTTCATTCATACAGGATACAGCAACCACGAGTGATAATGCGATAATAGCATAACAAGAATCCTGATACGAAAATCAAACATATGAATTTTTTTAATTATTTTTCTAGGAAAAAAGAACAAAGATTCTGATTCTCCCTTTTCTCAGTTCACCAGTCATTCGCTTGATGTTCTTCTCTCCTATACTTGTATATATAGTTTGATAATCATTTTAAGAGTATTAACATATATCGAATTTTATATGAGGTAATACACAGGGATTTGTCGCATCAGGGATTGCCTTTGCTGTGCAAATATGGTGCATAGACAGGGGAGGTCCTGTCTTTGTGGCCGTCTACCAGGCCAGTTCAAACACTTGTGGTTGCCGTCATGGTTCATTGCCTTGGGAGAACAGTTCTACCTAGGCGGTTATATAGTTAGATAACCATCAAAGCATTATTCCTTCTTATAATTACCTTCTTCTAAGCAAGAGTCTCTAATTAATCCCACATATGTTACTTATACACAGTATCATAGGCGCCAGTACTGATCATTGCTGGGCTCTACCTTGTTTTATGGGGAAAGAGTGAAGAGAGAGCTTTTGCCATCAGCGAAGCAGTCACAGTTTCCATCTCCGATCATGATGGTATGCAGAGACCACCTGCTCCAACTCCAGTGATAACTGCCTCGTTCAAGGGCTCTTCCTTAACTCAGCCGCTGATACCTTCAGAAAATGTCTGATCGATGAATTGGATATCAATCACCTCAGCTGTTGAATCAATGTGCAAGAACTAGCTAGTCTACTGTTATTTCCTAGTGTGATGGCCACAATTAGGGATAGAAGAGGCTACTGCATGTGTGGGTTTGAGATCAAATCTAGGTGGCTTGTTATATATGTCCTTTAGTCTGCAGGATTAGGCTAGAGCTTGCTCATATGCTTGGGTTTGATCGTAGATGGGCACTAATTGAATGATGCTTTTATGTATGCCTGTGTGTTTTCTTTACCTAATATTGCAGTTTGTTGAACCAGTCTTGTTTTGTTTAGTTTTCTTCGTGTTTTCTATCTGTTGCTTGTATTCCTAACAGCTTGTGTGAATGAGGGCTTGATTGTCCCACGCTTTCATAAAAAGGAAATGAAAAGAATAAAGAAAAGAAAATTATCTCGCAGGAACCTTTTACTCATATTTAGTGTAACTGCAATTTGCTCGGTTATCAATGTTGCAGCAACCAAAAGGGCATCTCAACAACCAAGTGTCATTCCCCATTCTTCTTGACTGTCAATCCTCCCCTTCCCATTGTACATAGTATGAGATATTTTTGGGCCTTTCTGATCTTCTAGGGTCATTATTGTTATGAAATGTTTCTAAACTACAGGCGTTGATGCTTCTTCCAGAAAACATTTCAATATTTTTCTTTTTTGAAAGGCTCTAGTGTAACTGCAGATTTTACTACTTTGAGATCATTAAATGAAATATTATAAGTGTAAAAAAGCTAATTAGCTCACTTGGTTAAAACAAAAAAAAAGATAGAATTGTCACCAAATGCTTGCTATTGTTGTTATCCTTCGATAGCGAGTGTGCTATTACGTCTAGATGTGTCAGCAGCACTAGTGTGATGTGAAGTTGAAGAGAAACTACTCTTAATTAATTAGTTGAAAAAAAAATAAAAGAAAACAAGAGAGAATTTTAGTTGTTGTAGAGAAGGAACTGTAGAGAAAAGAAAAATATTGAGATGCTCTAGAGGAGAAAGCCTGTAGAGAAGAGAGCTTCACAGCTGAATAGCTTGAACTAGAGAGGCTTCACTTCACTTGGAAACTTGGAGAATTTTGAGGTAGACAAAAATTTCATGAAGAAAACACATGATAAAAATTGCAGAATTTTATTATTGACATACCTGAATCGAAAACGATCAGGATGGTTATGAGGCTGAGGGTGATTAACGATTAACAATGGTTATGTTTTTGTTAGTAAGGCCTATATGCAGTGAAGAGTTACATATTTGGTGGACGATAATATATGATCTTTGTAATAATTCTAAGTTTCTTGGCTATATATATAAGGAAAAGTAAAGGGACTTTTGTGCATAAATTGTTAGAGGGTCTATTAGTAAAAGGATATTTAGGAATAAACAAAACCCTACTCTAGTTCCTTCTTCTTTTCCCGTCAGCCTCTTCTCCTTTTCCCGTCATTATTTCGCCACACACAAAAAAAGGGGGGGGGGCTGATCGGATTTGGGCTGAAGGGAGCCATCAGCGATTAGATCATCAACTTTACACACTATAGAAGGGTATAATCCTATAGATATTCTTCACTCCAATTAATTTTTATATTCTTGGATCTTGTCCTCTTACCTCTAAACATGTGATCAAAGAATTATTTTTAGATAGATGCCTGTCCATGAAAGATAGAGTATGATTTATTATTATTATTATTATTATTTTGACTTAGTTAGAAATGTGGGAACTGTATTGTTACTGTATTGTTACTGATCGAGGATAGTAGAAGGAATAGCTTGGGAACACTAGGTTATTAAACTAAGATATATTATAGGGACAACTTAATGTGTTAATGTTTAATAGGATGTTTGTTTTGACGACTATTTTATATGAATTCTTTAGGGGTTTCAAGTGACTTTGAGGAGGCATCATGACTGGTATTCTGATAGTCTTCAGGTTTATGTAAGTGCCTAAGTGGTGAATTCATGCATTGTGCACTGCGTATTTTCATATAAAATTATATTAATTATATATGAATTTATTTATGATGGATTATATCCTTTTGTGTGAGTTACTCACATGTTAAATGTTGATTCGGAGGTGATGCACATGGATATTTGGTATAAGGCTATGCTTATTTTCTTTGTCAATTGTTATATCTTTTCATATAGTAGTAAGTTGAGATGCATATGTGATTGATTGATTTCACTATTGGTTGGCATTTCGCATTTTTGTATAACGTATTTAGTTTTACGAACTTTGTTTAATTTTCTTAAAGTATATGCATCTCAAGTCAATATACCGATATATGTTGAGGATAAGTAAGTCATCTAAACAGGGCTCGATGTGCCTCTATGAGGTTTTTATTTTGGTTTTTATTTTAGCGCTAAGAACCCAAGTTTGGGTCTCAACATCCCGACCACGAGCTATATAATAGTGGGGTTTTCCAAGTCAACCGGAGTATCGAAGTGTTGACCGCATTGAGATATGACCTTCTTATTTCCATTGCATGTACACATTTTAAAAATGTTGCATTATAATTTTTTACTATTTTAGTATCTTGCTTATTAAGTCAATTTATTTTAGTTTTGTAAAACTAGTGTTCAATGTATGAATTTATCCACTTATTGAGTTGTGAACTCGTTGCGTTGTTTTCATTCTTTCCAGAGACTCGGGATTATGTGGAATTGATGATTTTTTTTTAATTCTTAGAACGGAGCAAGGAATAAAATTCGGAATTGTTATTATCTTCTAGGTGAAGGTTAAATAAAGTCTTTGATGTTTAATTGATGAATTGAGAGTTTTGTAATTATGAGATTTCTTTCCTTTAGGTCGAGTTTTATTTCAAGTTGAGGAATATTTGTTTATATCAAGTTAATTGGATTAATGTTGACTTTTGGGAATTATAGAGAATATTTATTGTTGGTTTAAGTTCAATGAAGAGACTATTTTGATGGTCTTTTAATGAATGTATTTTTTTGGAGGATCTTTCACAGGTTTAGTCCGGCTCTAATATTCCTTTTAGGTTCGGAAATTTGGGGTTGTGACAATCTTTGCTAACAGCTATACTAGCCATTAGCAACCACTTATTAGACATTCTAATCTTGGGCCCGTTTGATCGTGCGTGTGCCAATACCATTTATTTTCAAGGCAACATGCTTCACGAGTCAAGTTGCGCCTACGATCATGCTTCCATCAGGCAAGCTCACCTCGGTCTGATTGATGGAGCGGGCCAAGCATCAAAGGAATTTTTTTCCTTTTATGTATTTGATAAAATATTTCACACTTAAATCGGACACTGTACAGAGCCTACAAGCAGAGAAATTGTCTTAGCTTAATTACAAACATTAAATGAAAAAAATTGCTGCTTAGGGTTTATAGAATGTAGAGGTATAATAGAATGTGATAACATTTAAGTCTTATGCTCGACTAAATGCTGAAGCTGAAATTAACCAACCTTAATTTGTCATTGCACGTGAAGTTTCTCATCTGCGTCAATTTGTCATTGCACGTGAAGTTTCTCATCTGTGTCATGTCCCATTGAGATAACTTCCAAAGCCGTGCCTTTCATAAGCCATGCACTGAGTTCTGGTTGATGTGTGTGGTGGCTAAGAGGTTGCAGAGTTCCATCACCTTTTTTAATGCCATAGATGAATGGGAGTCTTAAAACAAGGAAGCTCTCGGGAGGTAAGATTACTTGACAATCAAGAGTAAAACACAGTTTCTGCTCCAGAACTGGAGTTGATGGAGGCAGACATTTTTCCTGGCATTTATTTCCATGAGCAAGAAAGTCTTAGATAAAGCTATAAATTGTCATCTATACACTAGAGAATACACCCAAATGTACTAACACCTTCTACAGGAATAATCAGATTGCGCGTCTACTAATGGATTGACTAAATAATTAATTATTTCATAATTAACAAATATAGAAACTACAGAACGTCTCATAGAATTGGACAATGAATTCTTATTATAAGTTAGTAGATAAATAAAATTTTCTCGAAAAAAGAATTGATAATTTACTGATGAAGTATACATATTGAATTATGTTGATTATTACCATTATATTTATAGAAAACTAGAATTTATAATCTGATTAGAAATTGAAAATTCAATAAAATTAACTAATTAAACTAGTACTATAAATAGTTAGAGTAAAGCTAGAAAATATTTAGTGTTTATTCAATCAAATACTTTAACACTCCATATCTATTCTAACAATCTCTATAAGTTTCTTCAGGAAAGAAACTTCCAACGAATTTCATTTCAAATCTCTCCAGACTCTCTATGTATTGTTTAGCTAGATTTCACTTGATTGAAACAGGTACGTATGACCTGATTTTCTTCAGTCTTTGTTTGGATAAATCTCAAAATTGAACAGAATTTTTAAGAACTATCAAAGTGGTTGTGTTAAGTACAGGAATCCAGCTACAGTGAATAACAGTGCTAGAAATTATCGTATGTAAAGTTTAGTAAGAAATATTAGAACAAAATTTATCTTTTGAAGATTAAATTTTCTTTCAAATATATTATTTTCACATAAACGTGCAATGCAGGAGAATTTTTTTGCATGTGTAAGTTTGCATGAATTGGATTAGTCACTTTTAGTATTAATAACAGTAGGAGATAACAATTCTAGCATGAATTTACAAAAGTACAAATTTTCACTTCTATAAATGTGTGGTCAATAAAGAATCAAATAATGTTTTAATGCACATTTTCTAAAATACTGGTAAAAAAGACATAAAAGTCCCCTATCTTTTTCATAAATGTGTATCAGATTACACAAAAATGCATAAGCACAGCAACACAAAACACCCCGATTCTTATGTCTTTGATTTTGTCACTAGCTGCAAGCATCCTTTCTCTCCATTTTGCCCTATGAAACCATTTCACTTAAATCAACATACGACAACTATTATATCCATCTCTATAAATCTATAAGTAAACACATACATAACTACACATTTAGCAATTTTAAGTATCCATATTGTTAGCTTGAAAACAATAATGTTGTCAAGACTCACCTCAAATTGTATAACTGGGCAGGTTGCAAGAACTGTAGGTAAGGGAGGTGTCACCTGCATAGCACAAAACAAAGGTCACATGTCAAAAATAGTGAAGATACAAAGAGTCACCACAGTAACTTATCTTTTAAAAGAGAAATAGAAACTGAACATACAAAGCACTGTCTAAGAGAAACAGAAAACATTGATTTAAGAAAACAATAAAGACAGAAAATATTGTTACCAGGAATATCCTTTGAAGCTGCGATACAGAACTTGCAAACTTGATATCTTGCTTCGGCTTAGTTGAGCTCTTGCAATGAGGGCAATTCATGTACACAGGCAAATTTCTGTTTAAAAGTGATAACCCATGGTCACCATCATCAAGTCTAACATGTAAAAGATTACCTTCAAGCTCGTCCGTGGTGTCAGAGGAGGTAGAGAGACCCTGACCAGATTGAAACTTATCAGTGCCTTCTCTAGAGAATGATGTGAATCCATCTCGTTGCTGACCATAATTAATATCATTTAGTGTAGATTTAGTACTTCTTCTTGTACTACTAGCAGTATTTGACGTTCTATATGGAGATTGAATCACTTCTTCATGTGATACATTACTATTTTTGACATATTTTCTTTCAGAAACTTCAGTAGAGTATGAAGAATCAAACTCCCTAAGATGCGTAGGGGATAGAAGGAATCGGTGTCCATGAGAGCACTCGTGTTCAAAACCTACATACAGAACAACCTCCTTTCGAGAATTATTTGGCAGCACCTTTTCAGTGTCGCACATGTTTACAGGAATTAATTTGCTTCCTATCTGTAAAACTGGGCTGCAACTGGTTTGATAATTACTTGTGGAACTATCTAAGCTTTCCTGAACTTCAATGTATTCACTTCTATGAGATCCTTGACGACCATCAGTTTTGATCACTTGACCATCAGTCTGATCAACTGTTCCTGTTTGTTTTCCACCTTTTGCAACAGCAATTGTTTGCTGTTTATTACTCTTAAGATTAGGGAATGTTGAATCAAACAGAACAGTACCTGCAACGACTTCAGAAAAAGGTTTTTTCATAGTAAATGATGGAAGACCTTTACCAAAACTGATACTTGTATCATCAGAAGAAGCCATGCCAGCTAGCTTTTGCTGATTATCTGAACCCCCACGCTGGACTTCCTTTGTGAACTTACTATTATCGAGTTTCTTCTTTTCTTTGCACACAACAGTAGAAGCCTTAAAGTAGGGTGTTGAACTTACCACAGAACTCTCTGCTGTCGCACCAGTAGACAATGTATAAGCCCCTCTTTGTTTGTCAAATGAAATTATACATTTCAGCAGAAAATTTTCCCAGGAGCAAAACCCTATTTGAAGTAATCCTCTTGATGGCTGATAACATCGTGCTCCTCCAAGACGCAAAAGCCTCCAAGACTTTGGAGGAAGAGGTGATGCGTCGCTTCCTTTTGGAAGAACTAGTGTTGGAAGGACATCTTCACAGTTGGCAAAACAGTTAAAGTCAACATTAGCACTGTTAAAATCAAAAGGATCCTCTCTAAGCCCCCTCGAGCGACCACAAGCACATGCATGGAGGAAAAAATATCCGCTCGAATGATCACTAACAGTGTGTTTTTGGTGTCTACATGGTTTTCCAGTCAAGCTGATGGCATCACAAAGTTGCCTCCCAGATGTCCATATATATGTACAGTCATCTTCCAGCTTCTTTATAAATATTCCAACAGCTGGTCCTTTAACCATTGAAGAAAAAGCACTAAGGGCCTTCTCTAGATGTGCATTATGTAAAGAAGATGGGTAGCAAGCAGGTAAATCTTTCAAATAAACATCTTTAGCAGCTGGAAGAGCTCTTTTGCACATAGTTACAGAAAACTTCATGTCAAGACCTATACTACTTTCAAGACAAGAAATGGCAGCTTCAGCAGCACTAGATCCAAATGTAGAAGTCTGCCTGTCGTGCATTTTGATGGAACTTGATTGAAGAGACACCTTTTTGATGTTCCCAGATTCATCCAAAAATTCATGATCTATAGAGACCAATGCATTAATAATTAAAGTGCTGGAAGATAACCAATTTTCTAAACTTGGGAGCTCAGGAACACTAATTGGCTTTCCAGCAGCAGCAGCAGCTGCTGCTGCTGCACATACCGACTCCAGCACTATTTGCATTACTTGGTAAACCACCTCTCCCTCTCAGAATGTGAGACTGCCGATATATAAAATCCGCAATTATTTGTATCTCCTCGTGATTAAGAGCCTGGGGCTGTGTTCCAAAAATAAACTCATTCAAATCTCCCTTCGAATTAAGAGTTTCCTCTATGAAACCAGTAATGAAGTCCAAGGATTCACCTCTTTTGTTGACTGTCCTATCTGCCAAGACTATAACTCTTGCTGCATCAAGTGAAAACAAGGGAAGGGAATTCACACTGCTGCTTCCTCTTAAACTGGGCTCTGAACCAACAAGAATGCGGCATTTCTTAAGCAAGAAACGGATTTGTGCATCCAAAGATGCATGCAGCTTCTTCTTCAAGCTTCCTTCATTTTTACTGCTGTTTCGTGCCAGCATGACCACAGATCCTGAACCTTTCAGGGTCAAGTTTGACTTCTGAGTTTCTGTCGTATCCTCCATATTTGGTGAAGGATTAATCAGCCCATCAGAGAAATCATCACAAAAGACAAAGAGAATGACAGGAACACACTGACCAGGGAACACAGAGAGGCGAGAGCCAGAGCCTGACATGAGAGATATAGATGAAGACTGGCGGCTTGTTCGCCTAACGGTTGGAGAAATCGAAGAAGAAGAAGCGTTGGGTGCAGCATATGGTTGTGATATGGATGTCGTCGATGTTTTTGGGAGCAATGTACTGGATCTTATGAATGGTGAAAAGGCATGTTTGGCAGCTTGGAGCACTCGAAACCTTTTCAAGATTTGGGTATCAAATCGCAGTCCCTCATGGAGGAATACTATGACATGACAAACCTGATGATTTATATGGGGGAAAACAATGTTACTAGCTCTTCCACTTTGCAGCAATGTAATAAAAAAACAACTATTTCTAAGCGACGATGATAATTTACATTAGGCTGATTTGGCCGTTATTATCCCAAAGTTTTGAAATTCTATGTTGACAATTTGATGCCCCTAAGTTTTCAAAATTGACGTTAATTTGACACTTTGATAGCCTGAAGCCCTAACTTTGTTCCTCATATTTCCCAAACTCAACAAACTGAAATTTGGTAAGAGCATTTGTTTCTCATCACTTTTCTCTATGTAGACATTCTAGAATAATATCAAGGTCAAATTTCTCGCACATTGGGTGTACAAATTGTCGGAATAAAACTCCATGTATCAAAGTTCAAAAAGAGCGAAACTTTAGGGTATTAAATTTCAACTGAACCTGTACATCAATACGTAAAAAGATTTTATATGATTTAGATGGTAAACGAAGGATCAGATATTTAGGGTTACAAACTGAAATCGAGATTAATAATCAAAATCGAGAGGAAATTAGTCTACTCACAGAGAACATGAAGAGCAACCCCTGAAGATGATCGAACTCAAACTCCTCCTCCTCCTTCAAGGAATAATCCGAACCCTCCGAGAGAGAGAATGCGAGGTTCAAGAACAAAATCCCCTTGTTATTGGAAGAAGATGAATCTTCACAGTAATAGGTAATTCGATGGCGGCGAAATCGATGAAGATCCTTCGCCGCGTCGGAGCCGAAGATGTTGGCATCGAGAACCCTGTTGATTAGATGAGTAGGGCTTGTCGTGGGTTTGCTTCCCACAAAACCTACGACTACAACGCCTCTATCGCAAGAATTCGAGGGAGTAGAAGAAGATGATGACGATGAAGTTGGAGCTGTGGCCGCTGCCGCTGCTGCTGAGGATTGAGGATTTTGTCGACTGAGATTTGTACGGATGGAGTAAGGAGATGAAGAGCTATTGATTTGCTCCGCCATTGCACTCGCAATCGGAGCAGCTCAGCTGCCGTCGCTGCTCTTCTCCATAGTTTAGGGGTTTTGGATGTGTAGTGTTTTATGTTTCAAATTTGCCCTTCAAGTCAATGTAATTTGTCATATGCCCCTAAGTCAATGCAAATAAGATTCATTACCCCTTTCATATTTAACATTTGTCAATTAGTCCCTTGCATCATTGAAATTGGTATCAGATCCCGTAAATCTTATAAGTTGTCCCAAAGCAGTTCCTCAAATAATTGACAATGACATTAGGTTTATCAATTCTCCTTACAAATTTATCTTAGCCTACAAGAATCACCCTCACCCTAAGCTTCAAAAACTACCTCATGTAATAAGTTCAAAAAAGAAAAAAAAAGAAAAAAAAAGAATACGATGATACTTTTGTGATATAGTGCGTGGTGTTGATGTCAGTTATCAAACAAGGGGTTTGTGGGTAGATTATGATGGTTTTTGAGTCCTCAAGCTCCTTCAAATGATTAGCTCTGGGCCCATTGTTCTTCCTTGCACATGAAAAACTCGTGAGAGGCCGGAGTTGGGTTCTCCGGCATTTCCTCCAACGATCAAGTTAATGTTTGAGCTTGAGTGGAGAAATATAAAATAAGTGATGAAGTTAATCTAGAGTTTTAGAGTTACACTAAGCAGAAGAAGTTACCTCATACAATGCAGCTTCCTTTATAGCAAATCGGAAGGGCAAAAAGGTAACTTGGGTTGAGTCAGGCAAGCAGCTAACTCGACAGATGTTTTACAGGTGTCTGCTGCGGACGAGGATGAGTCATCCAACTAGTTAGTGCAAAGACAACAGCAGGTGCTTGGTGCTGGTTAGGTCTGATGAGTCATAAAGACTATGGGGGCTAAAACAAGGATGATTTTGTCAGAGCAATTAATGCGAAGGTAATTGGTTGTCAGCGGGGGGTTTGAGGACACATTGCCTCTCTAGTCGTCCGGTTGAAGGGCGACAAGCACTGCCTTTTTAGTCGGTTACACGAGTTGTTAGCTGAAATAGCAGGCCAAGTGTGGAGTCTTGTGGGCTCGACTGGAGAATAGGTCGATAAGTATCACCTTTCTTGTCGGGCACGCAAGTTGTTACCTGACGGAGTCGGCTACTGGAATAACTCGAGTTGTTGACTACTGTAGTAATCTGACTAAACATGGAGTGGGCCACATGTCAGCTTCCTAGCTGTTGATTAATATTTGGTTAACTTACAGCCTATAACAAGTGGTATTGATATCTGAAATTTAACCCTTGTATTTCGAACGATGTTACTACTGTGTGTCTAGTAGTAAAAAAATAATACAACTACTATAGTACACTTCTCATTTTTAAAAGTGAACTCAATTATTAACATCTTATCCATTCATTCGTCTGAAAAACTAATATGGTTATAGCTGTCTAGAGACAGAGATGTTATTTTTACCATGATTCTTTATTGAACTAAAAGTAGGGGACCTAACAACAATTCCATTGATATGAGAGACTACTTTCAAAATATTAAAGATGTAAGGGACTAATATGGAAAAGCTAAAAAATCATCAAAATCCAAACTTTATTTCCAAAACTGCCTTCGTGAGGAGAGAGAGATTGGGAGGAGGCTGCTCCCAGTCTTAATTATCAGAGGAATACAGTAAATTTATCAGTAAATTAAAATTAAATTAGTGTCGCAGCTATCGCCGACGCCCTTTTCCTTCCCTTGATTTGTTTTCCTTTCACCTGGATAGCGAAGCAATTGTCTGTTATAATTTAACTACTCCACTCTGAGGGTCAAACTCAGATCCGAAACGAGACGAGGACGACGATCCAGGTAACCGATCCTCCCAATTTCCCCATTTTAGTTGATTAAATTAGGGTTCTTTCTCTTCAAAACATTGATAAAACCAAGATGCATTGCCACCATGAGTTTAGATTAAGATTAACAAGATGTTCCTGCCGAATTGATGTACGATCATCATATATAACTTCTGGATTTATCGCAAATTGTTCCCTGATCTCCTTTCGAGGCCGATAAATACGGATCCACACTATACTTATAGTTATTGAATCTGCAAATACAAAATGCATTGCCACCACGATTTGATACCTCAAAGTTTTAAAATTGACCTCAAATTGACAATTTGAAAAACAAAGCCCTAACTTTGTTCCTCGCTTTTCCCGAACTAAAAAAAAACTTTAATTTGGCGAGAAAATTTGTTTCTCATTCTCTTTTTTACGTTGATATTGTTACCAAAGTTAGCAACAAACTTTTTGCACATTGTGGTATTAAATTGTCAAAATGGAACTTCAGAGCATCAAAGTTAAGAAAAAGGTGGAACCTGCAAATAGCCCGGATATTATTACTACCGAATTGATGTACGTGCATCATATGTAGCTTTTGTGCTTAGAGTTTTAAATTGTTCCCTAAATTTTTTTGGGGGACTAATAATAGGTCCTTCTTTGCAACTCAGTTGGAGGTATGTAATTCCATTTAGCTGCTTGCTGTTTAGGACAGCTCACACTAATCACTGCTGGGTAGTTATTTTCATTTGTTTCTTTGTTTATTCCTTTTTTTTTTCCATGTAGAGGTGTTATGGAGGACAACCAAGGCACAGATTTGAGAGCTTATCTATCAGTGGCAGAAAATGATCGATGGATTTTAATCAGCCTTTCTGGTTGGCGTCCCTTGGGTCGTTACAAGGTATGATGCCGCCGCCTCTGTGCATTGTTATTTCAGGATCTGGGTTTCTCTTTTTCAGTGGTTATTTTTTCGTCTTCCCAAGAATTGGGATGGATGTGAAGGACAAACTTTGAAACAAAATAATACAAAAAAAGGCAAAAACAATACAAAAAGTTGGACCAAAATCCAAAATTGCATAGCGACTGAACATTTCAGGAGTATATCGGAAATGCAGTACAGTTCCATCCCTGCAATCATACATAACTGACTTTTATCTAGCAGCAATTGTTTGTTTTCCTACACTATCTGCAGAAAGAATCTTCTTAATTGTAGAAAAATTCTCAGCATCGTTACTGTTACTTATTGCAGCATTCTGCTCAAATAGTCAAAGAGAAACTATATGTGATCGGAGGAAGTCGTAATGGCCGGTATCTTTCAGATATTCAGGTAGTTGATATTGATTAAAACTTTTACCGCTATAATATTTTTTTATACTTCAACAGTTCGAAATTTTTTGTGTAGGTTTTTGATCTTAGAACTTTGAAGTGGTCCACATTAAGTCTACATGCATATTCGAGCAATGATGTATTGAAAGAAAACTTTCCTGCGATGGCAGGCCATAGTTTGGTGAGTTTTTTTTCCTTTTGTCTTAGTACTTAAATGGGCACATTTGCTCCGTATATTGATGATAATCAGCTATTTAAAAATTAAACTCACTGTTCTTCTGAACAGGTTAAGTGGGAAAGTAAACTTCTGGTTGTTGCTGGCCATTCCAAGGAAGCTTCAGATACTGTAACAGGTTCTTCTTAAGATTCCTTAATGCTTAAAGATCAATTTGGCTTGTAATTCCCTCAGTGAGATTGTATCTAACCCATCCGTTTGGTTTTCCACTGCTCATTTTAGTTAACTCACATGCATGCATATGTTAGGTCAGACAAGTTTGATGGTGTTAATAAATGAGCACTTTCTCACGTTTGTTGAATGCGTGAAATGGTTTTTGTGAAGCACACAACTAAGGAGCCCATGTAGGCCTTTCTGCACATAACTTCATTCGGAAGCATATCAGTGTTATGGGCCTTTGCTGAATGACATGTACCAGTTTGTCTAGAGAATGGTTATTTTTGCAGCCTCTTTTTCTACTGTTCCTTTTTGTTTGCAGTTGCACTGTGTCTGTCTAACTTGTTTTCTTCTTCTAAAGAATGGATGAGATTGAATTTGATTCAACACATTAGACACAGAACCCAAACCCAGAACTTAAGTTTAATGGGTCAGGAAATGTGTTACGTTTTTTCTTTGTTTTAAGCTTTATGGCTCGCCCCACACAAGATATCGCTTAGGTGCCCCAGCAGCTAATTTGGGGGCACCTAAGCCTAATTGAGGTGGCCTAGGCATGCTCCCGCGTCTAGAATGCCTTTTACAGCAATGATCAAAACTAACGAAATGGCTAAACTTACAAAGTAATTGTTTTTAGTTTTTCCACAATTTTTTTTTGTCTTCATAATGTTTTGGTTTACATAGTCTTATGTGTTTGAATCCTATTCCTTGATAATTTTGGAATCTAGTTTCTGATAAAGGTTATCCCTTTATTGTTTAAAACTAAATTTCATATTTCAAAGCTTAATCAATTGATTGAACTAACAAGTCTTAGTTTACATGAGTGTTTAATAGTTAGGTTCCAAATGTAACCCTTTTCCTTGGATTTTCCTTTTTTTTTATTTCTCATATAAATGCTTATACAAGATTGTAGCTTCTGCTTTTATTGAGTTCTCTTGCTTTGAATGTTAATGTATTTGCTGCCCACTGTATGGGTACCATCTTCATCAAATAGATCTTAATATTATTATTATATAGGCTAATTAGCACTTAAATGCCCTATATTTTCTCCTAGCTTGCACTTATATACCCTTACTTGTTTTTGGCAGCATTTATATAACCTAAATTTTCTAAAAGTTGCACTTTGATATTTTCTATTATATAAACGTGATAAGTTTTTCCTGAATTTTCTCATGCAACAATCATAAGCTAATTTTAGAACATGTTAACTTTTAATGTTTGTTGAATTTATTGTTAAACATATCGTAATTCTAGTTTAAATCTAACCCAGTAATATTTAAAATAGAATTATGGTGAGTTTAACAGTAAATTCAACAAACATTAAGGGCTAAACAGTTATAAAATTAGCTTGTCGGAGTCACATCGAAAATTTCGGTGGAAAATTCTCATGTTAGCATAATTGAGGTATTTAAGTGCTAATTAGCCTATTATATATTACTAACCATTTTAAAATTTCAGAAGCTTTGAATTCCTTAAACTTTAACCTTTAGCTGACTTGTGAGCTAGGCTTAGATGTGTTTGGCTGGCTTTGGGCCAAATCAAACTGTCAGCTGTAACAAAATGGTACAAAGTGTTATGCATTACATAGAAAAACCGCCTCTCAGATGTGTAATTTTCCACTTTTTGAGTGTGCACTATTAAAGTTCTTAATTATGCTTGTTGCCCTGGAGCTTTTCTCCCCCTGCCACAGTCTCTTTTCTGAATATACTCAATTGGTCTAAGTGCTCCAGCAATATATCTAATCCCTATTACCTTTGCTATTTGCAGTTTGGTCTATCGACTTGGAAACTAGTAGCTTTTCTGTTGTTAATACCCATGGAAGAGCTCCGGTAATGTACATACACTTATTACTCGCTCTTTTTTATTGATTTTTGAAGTGAGAAATGATTCTGTGGTCTACTATGAGACTGATCTCATTCATGTCTGGATGTATCCACTTATTAGTTAAACTTTCTCCAGCAACATTTGTCCATGCTAAAGGTAATTAAATGATTTGATCAATGACTAAAAGGTTAACTTATTGGCATTTTTTCCAAAATCAGACAGCTCGTGGAGGCCAGTCTGTTGCAGTGGTGGGTACAAGATTGCTAATCTTTGGTGGAGAAAGCACTAGGGGACAGTTACTGAATGATCTCCACATTCTTGATTTGAGTACTATGTGCTGGGATTTAGTACAAACTAAGTGTGCATTTTTTACTCTCTTTCTATCATGAGCTCTTCTTTTTACAGGTCAGGTGTCTTATTTTTTGACATATCAAAACAGGAATATGCCTCCAGCGCCAAGATTTGATCACACAGCCAGTGTACATTCAGATCAGTACCTTCTGATTTTTGGTGGTTCTTCTCACTCGACCTGTTTCAATGACCTGCATGTCCTAGACTTGCAAACGGTAAGACTAATATTCTTTTTCATCCTTTGTGATCCCTTTTCCCATCATTATTTATTGATCTCTTGCACACATGCAGCTTACATTGTATTTCTTATCAAGAACTCGAGTATACAATAGCATGTCAATTGAATGAAAGAGAATTAGTTAATTATCAGAGGGAGTCTGGTTTTAAGTTTCCTCAATTTTGGCTGCAAAGTGACTTAACCTCTGAGTACTGTAGGTACGTTAATAGATTTGAAGTCCTTTGAGCCGTCATTCATGTTTATGCTTGTATGAGACTTCACATTTATGGTAATCTTAATTAAACATAGCTCTAGTATCCCCCCCTGAAGTAATGTTGTGTTTTGTCATTTTGTGAAAACTTGAAAACAGACTGCATCGTAAGTAGAAGCCCAATGATACAGAGAGAGGGTTGACTGCAGAAAATAGGAGTTAATGCTGGAAGAGGAGGTTCAGATCTGGGGATCAAATTGATCTTGGTCCCAATTAACTTGAAGAAACTGCAATAGGACCAGTTAGACAGCAAAAGGGTGCAAATAACAGTAGATTTGTTTAGTATTGTGAGAAAACAAAGGAAAAAATATGGATTCAGTAAAATCCTATGTTGGATCCTGGAAATTAAAACAGAGGAGAAAATGTTAGGAAAATATAAGAAAAAGACTTCTAAACCAGCAGTTCCTGCATCTTTTGCTTCTATTAGCTAGTCCCTGTGACCAGTTTTAGCGATTGCCGCTTCCATCTTCCTAGAATTTGGTCGGATGCCAATAATGTTTGGGAATCAGAGGGGCTCCTACCAATACCATGACCAATTTTTGTCAGCAGTTCCTGGATCTCCACCCTCTAAATAGTCTCCAAGCCGAAGGTTTCATTGCAACGTCCTTTTCCCACACTAGTTGCCTTAGCCAGGAATCTGGCAAGGTTGTCAACCAGCCTTATGAAAAAGCTTGGGGTATGAATGATATTCTGATGTGGTATGTAATGTCTTGCAATTATAATACAGTGTAAATGTACGATTTATGGTCTTGTAAAAATTGAATAATTTCTCTAAGTTGGAGGGCACAAGTAGCCTTTAAAAAATGAATAACTTATATGATTCCTTCAATTACATGTACATGCAATTTATTATTTGTCAACATGATATCGTCGTGGATTTGAGACTGAGCATGAGTTTTGAAACTTCGTATATTCAATGAAAGCACCTCAGCTCCATGACACTCAGCTCATCCTCACTGAGAGTTTAAATGTTGCAGATGGAATGGTCTCAACCGGAAACCCAGGGTATTGCTGTGGCTCCTCGGGGTGGTCATGCTAGTACTACAGTTGATGAGCACTGGTATATAGTTGGTGGTGGAGACAACAGAAGTGGTAATCACCATGTAAAATAGTATGCTTGATGAATTATCTCTATATTTTCTTTAGATTCAGACATGTTTACGCATCTTTGAATCTTTTTCCTTTTTTCAGGCGCCACTGACACTGTTGTCTTGAACACATCCAAGCTTGTTTGGTCATTATCTACAACCGTAGGAGGGCGGGATCCTCTTGCTAGTGAGGTTTCTTGCTTTCTTTCTCTGTGATTTTAATTTCCATCCATTTTCTAATTAGGGTCTGTTTGGTTATTATCTGTCAAATTAAAGAAACCCAAAGCCAACAAAAAAGAAAAACATTTCCTTGCATTTCACAAGATTACTTAGAAAGCATCTCCCTTGTTTATTTCTACTAGAAAAGGCATGGGGGAATTTGACTTACCTGAGAATTCCTTCGTTTGGGAAGTGAGAGAAAAATGGAAATTGAAATTTAAGAAATCAATTTTCATACATTTATATTGTTTGGAGAGAAGGACATCACCTTTAAAAATTGTGTTTTGTGATGGGAGCAGGTCTCAAAAGGTAAGAACCCTCTCAGTCATGGGTTTTTATCAAAAATTTTGCTTTCCAAGCTATCTCCTCTAGAAAACAGTGAACTTGGGTTTCCTATTTTACTCACGTTTTGCACTTTAGGGAAACCATTTCCCTTTCTAATTGACAGTGAAACTTAGAAGAAGAAAGCATTATGGTAAATAGGTTTCTCAGTTTGTTTGGGTGTGTTCGTATGTGGGTGTGTTCTCTATTTTTTTGGGTGTGTTGGGGTGT